GCCCCGCACCCCGCTCGGCCCCGCCCCCAGCCTGCGCCCAGGGCCACCACGGGCTCACCAGGGGAGGTTGTAGCCCCGGGGGGGTGTCCGAGGTGGGGCCAAAACTGCATTTTCGCAGTTAGGCCCAGGGGGTGCAGGCTTCCGCTGCGCACCCCCCAGTATTTTTTACTTTGTTTTCAATTCTTTTTTCATTTTTTTTTGTTTTTGTTTTTTTTTTTGGGGGGGGGGCGCAGGGCCGGGGCCAGGGGTCCCCACCCCTGGACCCCCGCAGCCCCGCCCGGGACCCAGGGCCGGGGCTTGACAACTCTGGACTCATATAGGATCATATACTAGCAGATATGAGCAGATCAAAGACTGGACCAGGTCACACCAAGATAAGATAGAATCAGACTAGACCACACCATCCACCCAAACCATACCTGATCAGATCAGACTAGACGAAACTGTATACCATACCAGACCGGACAAGGCCAGGCCAAGTCCGGTCAGACAAAACCACACCCGATCAGCCAAGCCCAGGCCAAGACGGGTCAGACAAAACCACACCCGATCAGACAAGCCCAGGCCAAGCGGGTCAGACAAAACCAGATCAGACTCGGCCATACTATATACCACACCGGTCTGTATACAATACCAGACCGGACAAGGCGAGACCAAGTCAGGTCAGACAAAACGAGACCCAACCGGACAAGGTCAGGCCAAGTCGGGTCAGACAAAACCAGACCCAATCAGACAAGCCCAGGCAAAAAAACAGATCAGTCTCGCTCATACTGTATACCGCACCCTGGCCGGACATGGCCGGGCCAAGTCGGGTACAACAAAACCAGATTCGACCGGACAAGGCCAGGCCAAGTCGGGTCAGAGAAAAGCAGATCAGGCCACACCAGATCCGATCACACAAGATCAGATTGTACTGGATCAAAGCAGTTCAGCCCCCCAGCTGGCCTAGCTCAGTTGGCACACCCAGGAACTGATGAAATATGGACGTGAGTTCGACTTCCGAAGAGAAAAACTCTGAACCAAAAAAAAAACAAAAAAAGCAGTTCAGCCCCGGTCAGATCAGACCGCACGAGGCCCGGAGCATACAGATGGGATGAAGGAACAGATCAGACACTGATCCCTGTAGACGAAGTTAACCATATCCAGCCAGAGCAGAACAAACCACACCACACCAGACCCGACCAGACCAGCACATATCGGATCACTTTTTCTTAATTACAGTATAGAGCTGATCTCGTGAGACCAAGTCCAACAGGAAAAATCAGGTGGAATCAGATCCAATCGTAACAGACCAGGTCACATCAGAGAGGTTCACAACAGGCCAGAGGATCTCTTTTTCTTAATTACAGTATAGAGCTGATCTCGTGAGACCAAGTCCGACAGGAAAAATCAGGTGGAATCAGAGCCAATCGTAACAGACCAGGTCACGGCAGAGAGGTTCACAACAGGCCAGATCAGACCATACCCGAGTGATAAATACCTAGATAAGCCAGATCAACAAGCCTGGGATGGAGAACGTGGCTGAGCAATATCCTACCCAGTAAATACGCCCTTTATCAACGAGGGACAAGACCTCGTACGCGGCTGGGTTTTGGCCGATGCCGGCATCGGACGGGTTCTTGTCCCGTATCGTCGCGCTGAGCGAGGAATACTATACCCTGAGGTTTGGGTGTGCAGAGGAGAATGGAGGGAATGACATACTCACGCTAGAAGATTGCCTGGACTCAACCTTGCCGCAAGTTGCAGTCAGATCATCCACTCGTGCCACGCTGTCATGAACGTGGCATGTATTGAAACTGTATTTGTTGCAATGTACAGAGATAAAAAGGAAAAAAAAAGTGCAGCCCTATTCTCTCTACATCCCTAGGCAAAGCGCCGGCAGGAAATACGATCAACAGTTCAAAGCGCGGCTGATTGCAACAAGTCTAGCGTTATTTTGTGTTTTCTCTGACAGCATCGCAGCTGAGTGGGAAGAGCCGGGCAAAGCTGGGGGGTGCTGGGACTTAACTGACTGCCAGCTTGGCTTGGAGGAGATGCTCTGCAGACTCCCAACAACAGCTACTGACGCCCGCTCCCCCCCCGCTGCCCCCTCTTCTGCACACGTCATCCTGCACCCCCTGCGCCGACCATGGAGGAGCTTGCCTGTCGGCGGAGACCTAAGGTCTCTTCTTCTCTCTTATCAATCATTCTGATTTGACTTGTTTTACGTGCGCATTCCCTGAGATATTGTACAGCAAGAGACCGAGAACCAGAACTGCCGCGCCAAGAATGAAACTCGGGGAAAGGGGCTCAGGCTCGCCGAGCAGAGGGAGCGGGAGGGTAAAGATAGCAGCGGATAGCGGGACAGAGACGGCTACGGCTAGAGACGCGACAACAGCTGACGACATTCTCAAGAGTTGCAAAGCAAGTATGTTGAAGGAGAGGTTGCTTGCGATGTACAGGAGAGGGAGCCAGGGGGCACCTGCACAAGAGGAGGGGGAGGAAGAAGCATAGTTCAGGAAGCAAGCGCCGCCATTTACGAGATAAGATGGGAGGTCAGAAAAGCGGATCCCCTTAAAACTGGCAAGCAGAGGCATCAGCAAGAAGACGAACATCGCTTGGAACCCCGATCCAAAGGAGTTGACCACAAAGAGGTCCAACGACTGCCCGTTCAACTTCGATGGCACTTCTTTGAAAACTTTTTCCTTGAGAATACTCGATGCCGCAGGAAAGGCAGTAGAGAGGACCAGCAACAAAGCCCAGAGCAATCCTGCGGCCTGCAGCGAGTGCTCGGTGGCGGTGCTGCCGCCGCCACTCGAAGCTACTTGTACAACTCCAAGGATCACCAGCACACAGCCGAACAGCTGCCCGAGGGAATAGCGACGACTTAGGAATACTCTAGACAGAGCCAACTGCCAGACAAGGAAAGCCTGATTAAGTATAGGGATGACAGCACCGGACAAGACGGCGCCTGCCGCCATGGACAACACTAAACCCATCGCTTCCAAAAAGCCCATCATTGCGAAAGGGGTCTTCGGGAGGCTCAACATGGCGTTTGTCACCGCACCAGCTTTCTTCCGTGCGCATAGCACTGAGAAGTACACGGCAACGTAAGCCAGAGTCAGGATCTGTGCCATGAAAAATGGGTAGTGTTGCATTGGAACGAGTGCCAGCTTGAAAGTCACACGATTGAGCACTCCAAAGGACACCGTGGCGGCGGCCACCATAGCCACCTTCCAGCTCCGTGTGGGCTGCTGGCTATTACTCGTCATCCGCTCCTCCTTGTCCCCCTCCTTCGCCATGACCGACTCCACGTGGGACTCGAAAGACGATGACAATGAGACATGTGTCGTCTCGACGGCATTATCGTCCCTGTCGGCCTCGGACTCATCGAGATGGTTCGTCCTCCCCAACGAGGACGCAGCAGCTGTTTCCCGCCGCTTGCCAGCACTTCCAAACGTACTGCCACATGTTGCACCGAATCTGCTTTCTTTTTCTCCCCTGCTCCTCCTCCTCAACCCCCCCCACTCCCAGGCCTCCGTCCCCGTACTCTGCCTGGATCCGTGAGCTTTGGCCGAGGCGGGAAAAGGGACAGACAGCGCCCGCCCTGCTGTGGCCTTTGGAGCTGTTTCCCCCTGCGGAAGCCTCCACCGCTGCCACGTGGCGCTGCACGCCGAGCACATTGCGCGCCGTAATCCGGGCTCCACGGTTGGCGCAACACGTGTTCGCTGCTCCAGCATGCTGGGAGAATGACGACATGCCCCATCGCCAAGCACAACCTCAGCTTCTGATTCCCCCCTGTGTGCCAGCAAGCGATCGGAGGTGACGTGGCTGGGAGTCGATGAGAGCGATCTCCACGACAGCATGGCGCCCCTCAGTGACGTCACGGAAGCTTTGTCCACTGTTCGGTCAGCACTGCGGGACAGTCGCGATTCCCATCCGGATCTCCGCTGGGTTCCACTGGTCAAGTGCCACGTGGCACTCCCAATGCATGCTCCCGCCATAGACCACTCCACTTGCGGCACTGATTAGGCACGGCCAACTGGGAAACCGAACCAGATTCCCGCCAACACCCTTGCTCGTCCACAGAACGTGCCCTTCCCTGAGAAATATTCCTTGTCACAGGGACGTAAAGTCTGATGCTTCTGTTCTGGTGGAACAGATTTTACTCCTTTCCATTCTCGTTCCCACCGAACAGCACGCTCTGCTTGAGGCGTGTGCAGAAATTTAACTAATAAAGTAACAATTCACGAGCATTCTGTCTGTATCTGTCTAATGGGAATGGCGGTCGGACAGATAAACTCAGTGTAGTCCTTAATTATACACTTCTGCCACATGGCCTTGTGGACGCCATGGATTCATCAGTCCGAGAGCATACTCACATTAAGACCTGTCTACTACAGGGTACCTGTTGCGGCTTTGCCCGCCAAAAAAAAAAAAAAAAAAAAAAAA